GTGCCTCCTTGCGCTTGCTTTGAGATTCCACAACCGCGGCTGCGGCCACTGCTGCTGTTCCAGTTGCTCCTGCTCCAGCTCCTGTTGCTCCTGCTGCTGCTGTGCAAGTGGCACAGCAACTTGCATCATTGCAGCAGCAGCCTCCGCAGCTTTAGTATCCTGCATTAACGCATCCCCTTCCAAGCGCACAAGAGGAGACAACATACCAGCAGCAACACCACGGGAAGAAGCTGCCGCAGCAGCAGCAGAGGTGGTCGGAACACCTATAAGTCCACTCCTCACATCCCCCCCTGCGATGCCAACCTCTACAGAGGCAAAGCCAGGCATACTTTGCTGCTTACTTGGCCTTTCCCCATGCCCCCGTCTCCTCTGCTTGCTGCTTCTGCCGCTCCAGCTCCTATCCTCCGCTTCCTCTGCACACCCTGCCATCCTCGCTGCCCCTCTCTTCTTCCTGCCAACCCTAGCACCAGCAGCAGCGCCGGCAGGGGCAGCAGCAGCAGAAGCAGCAGCAGACGGAACAGGTACGGAAACATTCTGCGCTGTTGTGAGTGGTGTTGCCTCCCCTGCTGCCACGGAACCAGCACTGCGCCTCACAGAAGCTGCAGCAGCTGCCACTGCTGCTGCGGCCAGTGACAGGGCGGGTGAGGAAGCTACAGGCACCTCAACAGGACCAACCGATGCAGTTGCGACACCAGCAGCAGCCGCAGAAGCCGTGGGCATGGCTGTACCACCAGCAGCAGCGGCGGCAGCAGCGGCAGCGGCGGCGGAGGCAATAGCTTCTCTCTTGGTGTCTAGATGCAACAGCTTTGCAAACGCAGAGAGGCTACCAGCGGCAGCAGCATCAGCATCGATAGCATCAGCAGCAGCAGCAGCAGCAGCTTCGCTAAGAGCAGCAGCAAACATGCCGCCGCCACCTCCTGATAATTCCACAGCACCAACACCAGCAGCAGCAGCACCAGCAGTCTCCAATGCAAGCACCCTCTCCACCCCCTCTCGCCCCTCCCTCTCCCTTGCACCAGCACTTTTTCTGTGACTCCTCTGCCTCTTCCTCCGCCCTGAACCATTCAGATTCACCTCCTGCTGCTGTCGCCCGTCCTTCTCCCGTTCGTGCCCCACCTTGTTCCACTGTTCTCCTGCTCTCGTCTCTACCCCTCTGCTGCCCTTCGTCCCTCTGCTGCCTTTCGTCCCTTTGCTGCCCCCCCTCTCAAACTTGCCTTCACGCCTCCCCTCATCCTCTCGCTCCTGCACCTGATGTTTCCTTCTCCTGCCTCTTCCTGCTGCCCGGTGCCTATGTCGCCTTATGAAATCGGGCAGCTTGAAGGTTTTTAGCCTCACGGGCAGGAGGGCCAATGGAAGAAGCAGATTGGCGGTCTATGGGAAAAGGGAAAGGCAGAAAAACGCAGTACAAGGGGGTGGGAGAATGGGGACAGGGAAACATTAACAATGGCAACAAGGAAACCAAAAAGCACCTGATTAAGCGCCCAGTTGACTGAATCAACTCACACAACAAATGACTCGACACAAAACATGCGAGGGCGAGAGCGAGAGCGAGCGAAAATGAAGAAAGGGTCGCTCGCCCCTCACCTCGCCACCCCCCTGCAACCAATGCCCCACTTACTGAGATTTCTTTGCCCTTATCAGCTGCACAAGCCCTGGCAGTAGCAGGCGCAGGGGCAGAAGCAGTGGCAGGGGGAGCGGAGGGTGGGGTAAGTGTGGGTGTGGGGGCACGCGCGCATAGCTGGATGGCAGCAGCGACTGGTGGGAGGGAGGTATGGAGTAATGGAGAGGACAGGCGAGGAGAGGAAGGTGGTTCTGGTGCCATCACCAGGCGCGGTGCTGCAGGTTTTGTCCATGCTTCTGCTTCCCCGCCTCCTGCTGCTGCTGCTGTTGTTGCCTTTCCAGCTGATGGTGATGCTTCTACTGCTTCTTCTGGTGTTAGTAACTGTACTGCTGCTGGCGGTGCTGCTGCTACTGGTGATGGTGTTGGCGGTGCTGCTGCTGCTTCTGCTGCTGCTGCTGCTGCTGCTGTCAATGGTGATACCCGCAGCAAACCCGTGGCCCTCTGGGGTGACTCAGCAGACGAAGCAGCTGCAGGAATCTGCTGCACCATAAGAGCATCAGAGCAAGCATCCGGCGATGGCAAGGAGGAGAAGGAAGAAGAGGCATTAGCAGGAAGCACCGCCGCCTGCACATCTGCCTGCCCTTTCTTCTCGCATTGAGGTGATCTTTGAGGTGCCTCAGGAAGCGCTGCCACCTGCACATCCGCCTGTCCTTTCTTCTCGCATTGAGGTGACATCTTAGGCGCCTCAAGAAGCACCGCCACCTGCACATCCGCCTGCTCTTCCCTCTCGCATTGAGGTGCTCTTTGAGGTGCCTCAGGAAGCGCTGCCACCTGCACATCCGCCTGCCCTTCCCTCTCTGCTGCCACCTCCCAAATCTCATCACCTCGCTCGCCTAGCCCCTCCTCGCTCCCTCCCGCCTGCTGACCTTCCTGCTCCTGTGCCGCTTCACCATTCCCCACACTGCCGTCTCCTTGCTCCCCCCTCCCTATTTCCTCCTTCCCTCTATCCTCCTCCTCTCTCTCCTCCCTCCCTCTCTCCTCCTTCCCTCTCTCCTCCCTCTCTCTCTCCTCTGTCCCTCTCCTCGCCTCCTCAGCTTCCATCTCCTCGACCAAGGCCCCTCCAGAAGCTCGCCTTTCTCCCTCGCAGCCACCAGCCTCCGTCTCCCCCCCTGTCTCGGAGTTTCTAACGCCCATCTGAGGCGCCCCAACAGCAGAGGACCTCACCCCTGTATCCCTCACCACGTCCATGCCAGGCCCACTGCCAGCAGGTGTCGCGGGTGCATTGACAACCGGAGCACCGGCAGCAGAAGTACTAGGAGAAGCAGAAGCGGCAGCAATACAGGCAGCAGCAGCAGCAGCAGCGGACGGGGCAGCAGCAAAGGGAGCAGGATGCTGCGACTGTTCGCCTGGTGTGCATGGGAGGCCTTGTGGCGTAGAAGAATCTGCAGCATCCAGATTCCGGTCAGCAGCAGCATCAGCGGCACCAGCAGCGGCAATACCAGCAACAGCAGCAGCTTCTGCTGCTGCAGGGTCAGCAGCAAGACCACCTGCAGCAGCAGTGGAGGCGAGGGTAACAGGCAGAGGCACATTGCTGGGTGCACGCAGCAGCAGCTGGGTGTCTCTGGCAGTGCTGACTGCTGTGGCATTCGCAGCCGACGCAGGGGGGGAGAGAGCAGAGGGAAGAGCAGGAGAGGCGAGCAGAGGGGCGGAGAGACAGAAGGTGGGGACAGGGGCGACTCCAGCAGGGGCGGAGAGAGCAGTGACTGAAGTGACCTGAGTTGAAATCTCCACTGCAGTATGCTCGCACACCACTGTGACTTGCTCTGACTCTAACCTGCACACCTGCTCCTGCTCCTCCTGCTCCTCCTGCTCCTCCTGCTCCTCCTGCTCCCTCTGCCTTTCCTTCCTTTCGCATGCTGCTTGCCTCTCTGCACACTCACGTACTCCAGCAGCAGCAGCAGCAGCAGCAGCAGCAGCAGCAGCAGCAGCAGCAAGACCCAGAGGAGCTAGGCCACCATCACAACCAGCACCATCACAGCCAGCACCATCACCCTCAGCTGCCGCAGCAGGGGCAGCAACAGTCAGCTCTGTGCCCTCATCTCTGCCTCTCCCTGCACTCTCTTCCACCTCCCTCCGCCCCTCCCCGTCCCCTCCACCTCCTTGATCAGAACCGCACGCGTCCACCTGCCTGTGCCCCTCTGCACTCCCCCCTGCGTCCTGTCCGTCCCTGCTCGCGTGCGCCCCTCCCCATCCGCGCTTCTGCGAGAGAATTACATCCAGCCCTGACAGGCCCACAGGCTTGGATGCATCTACTGCTGCTGCCGCTGATGCTGATGCTGCCGCCACCGCCGCTGCTGTCGGTGCTGCTGCCGTGCCTGCTGCTGCTGGCACTTGCAGTTTTCCACAGGCAGCGAGTGAGCAGTTGGCATCCCCTGTCAGCTGGTGAGGAGCGGTTGCAGCAGCAGGATTGTGGGCCGTGCTTAAATGTGGTGGTGGTGGTGGTGGTGGTGTGGGTGGTGGTGTGTTGCTGCCACGAGCCATGGGAACAACAGGCATCTCATGGCCGTTCTCATAACCCATCTTCCTGCCTGCTTCCCTCTCTCCTCCTGCTTGAGCCCTCACCGCTCCCACGCCATCCAATTCCTTAATTCTCTCGCTTCCTCTCACATCCACCTCCTCCTCATCCTCCTCCCATCCCTCCTCCTCCTCGTCCTCCTCACTCTCTTCCCTCTGCTCCTCCTCCACCCTCCACCTGCCCAGCAATCTCCGCCTCTCCCTAAGCCACCCATGCTGGCACCTATCCACACACGCAACCCCCCTCTGCCCCATCGCTCTCAACGCTGGTGCAAACGCCACAACAGCCAGCCGAACCAGCAGCCTCCTCGGCCCAACCCTACCCCCCCACTTCTCCACCTCCATGCCTCTCCAGGATCCTAACGCGAAGCACGGGGGGTCTGTGGGTTCGGTGGGGCTGCTGCTGCTGCTCCTGTGGCATCCATGCCTGCTGCCTAAACCCTCGTTCGTATAATCTACTTGCTCCAACTCTTGCTCAATCTGCCACCGTTTCCTCTTGCGCTGCCACGAGCAGCCTGCGGGCGGGAAGATGCGGGACTCAAGGCACGAGGGGTGCAGGCAGGTGGGGTGCGGGCAAGAGGGGTGAGGGCAGGTGGCGTTGTCAGTGCACGTGCAGGGGGGGAGGGTGGAGAGCGAGGAGGGAGGAGGTGGGGAGGGTGATGGTGGGGAGCGAGCAGGGGACGGGGAGCGAGAGCGAGAGCGAGAGTGAGAGCGAGAATGAGAGTGAGAGCGAGAGGGGGAGACGACGAGGACGGGCGTGTCAGTGGATGTGGGGCTAAGGAGATCGATGATGCCATCTGCTGCTGCTGTGTTGTTGTTGTTGTTGTTGTTGTTGTTGTTGTTGCCAGGCAAAGTCGTTGGTTCCTGAATGTGCATATGCATGGGGATGTGCTGCTCTTGTGCTTGTGATTGCCCATGCCCATGCCCATGCCCATGCTCATCCCCATGCCCATGCCCATGCCCATGCTCATCCCCATGCCCATGCCCATGCCCATGCCCATGCACATGCCCATGCCCATGCACATGCCCATGCCCATGCCCATGCCCATGCGCATGCGCTTGCCCGAGCCCAGCAGACGCATGCAGTTCCCCGCTGCAGCTACCACTCGTTGCACTCCTCCGCCTGCTGCACACTCCTCCCACGCCCTTCCTTTCATCCGCCGTGCCATCTCCCGTGCCACCTGCTCTCCTCCCTCCCTGCATGCCGTCTTGCTCCTTCACCTCCTTCCCATCGCCTGACACTTCATCCCGTTCCTCACCCACCCCTCTCGCACCCCTGTGTCCCTCCTTCTCACACTGCTCCTCCTCGTCCCCTTCTTCCTCCTCGTCATCCGCTTTCTCTTCGTCTTTCTCGCCCCCTTGCTGCTCCTCCAGTCTACGATTCATCCAGTATCGTTTCTCCCCAACCTTCTCCCAGCTCCTCCTCACTTCCCTCACCCCCCTCCCCTGCCCCATCCACCATCTCCGCTGCATCGCACCTATCCCCTCCTCCTCTTCCTCCTCTTCCTCTTCCTCGTCTTCCTCATCCTCCTCACCCTCTTCCTCTCCGTCGTCCTCCTCTTCGTCCTCTTCCTCCTCCTCCCCCTCCTCCTCCTCCCATTCCTCCTCCTCCTCAGTCTGCATTAGCTCCAGCCTCCTAGACCGTCTAACTCTCGTCGCCGCGTCCTCTCCATCCAAACCTCGTCTCCTTCCTCTCACCACCTCCCTACCACCGCCAATCTCCCACCTCAACTTCCTCAAACCACCGGAACCGCGCCTGCCCCTCCCTCTGCGCCTCCCACGCCCTCCTCTTCCCCCCATCCCGCTCCCATCCCTCCAATCTCGCTCACACCCGCCCAGACGCCCTTCTGAACCGGACCCACCACCACTGTCCCCCCTAGAATCACCAGATGTGCTTTCATCGCCACCTTTTGCCGCTTCGCCTTCTTCTCTCGTCCCTCGCCCATCTGTCCCCGCAGGCCAAGCGTGGGGCGGTGAGGTGCAGAAACGGCTGTGGGGGTGGCGGGCGATTTGGTTTAACCCGCTTTCTGGCCCAACCCCCACTTCCCTCTGCCTTGCCACAGCAGCAGCGGCCCTTCGGCTGGCCAACGGCAAATCACTGTCGGCACCACTGCTGCTGCGACAGCGGCTGTGGCTACGAGTGCTGCTGCCACTGCTGCCGCTGCTGTGGCTGTGGCTGTGGCTGTGGCTGCTGCTGGCCCTGCTGCTGGTGCCACAGCTGCTGTTGCTACTGCTCGCGCCTTTCTCCCTGCCTCGTGCGACCCTTAGACCCCCTCTCCTCCCCCATCCCCTACCCCTACTGCCGCAACCACCCGTCCTGCGTACGTTCTCGTTTTCGCTGCTGCTGCTGCCACCGCTGCTCCTGCCGCGGCTCCTGCTGCTTCTCCTGCTGCTTCTGCTCCTGCTACTGCTGCTAGTGCTGCCGCTGTGACTGAGCTTCGTTGGGGTCTCCTCACTAGGAACAGATGCTTCTTCATTATCGCTACTGCTGCTACCCCTGGAGCTGAAACGGAAAGATTCGACATCCTCCTCCTCCTCACTATCGTCGTCACCACCATCATCACCATCATCAGGAAACTCGTATTTGGCGGCAGCAGCAGCAGCAGCAGGGGCAGCAAGATGCAAACTGTTGTATTTGGGGCGATGGCCAGAACTTCTTTGAGCACCCGTTTCAACACCACCACCACCACCAATATCAGCACTGCTCCCCCTTCTATCACAGCTCTTTATCCTGCTTCTGCTACTGGTGCTTCTACTGCTGCTTCTGCTGCTACTGATCCTCCTAGTATTGCCACCGCCGTGGCCCTTACAACGCTCTACTGTATCGCCCCGTATCCTACTGCTACCGTCAGCACTGGCACTGCCACGCCTGCACGCACTGACGCTGCCACTTTCCCCACTACACCGCATCTCCTTCACGCTGCTCTCTCCACCCACCCCGACCCTACAACCCGCCTCCTCTGTCCCATGCATTTCATGTGCCCCGCGCACCCCATCTGCTACATCCGCCCCACGTGCTACATCCGTCCCATGCGCCCCAACGCCCATGGAGCGCACAGCAGCAGCAGTCCAGCCGCCATGCCCCCTTGGCAGCCTGCCTCGCCTCGCCTCACACGGCCATGCCCCTCCAGCCCGCTCTCCCCGCCCGCCTGCCTCCTTCCCCACTCCTTCCCCGTCTTGAATTCGTCTGCACGCGTCTGCTGCTCCTTCCGCTTCCCTCTCTGGGTTTCCTGCCCTTGCTCCTGCTGCTGGTGCTGCTGCTAGTGATGTGGCTCCTTTCTGTGCTAGAGCCGCCACTCCTACAGCAGCAGCGGCATCAGTGCCTTCGGCCGTTCCTTCCCCCCGAGCTTCACTCCCACGAGACGCCTCATTGGCCACCACCACAACAACTTCCTTCACCGCATCGGACCCCGCTGAACCGACAGAAACCGGACCAAACTTAACCACACCATCACCACTGCCACCACCGTCACCAGCACCAGAGGAGTACCCTGGCAGCTGAAACGGGCCGTTGAGAAAAAGGCTCACGGGAACGTCGACTGCACTTCCCAACCCCTCCCCTCCCACACGTGCACCCCTCTCCCTCTCCACCTCACACCCCAACACCACGCATCCGTTCCTCCCGCGCCCCACCTCCCCCTGCCCGTTTTTGCCCCTCTCCAGCTCCCCATCCGCCTGCACAACCCGCCTTCTCCACCCATCCGCCACCCTCACACCTATACCCTCGCCAACGGTCTCCCTCTCCTCCTCGTCTCCTCTCGGCGAACTCGCTTTCCTCTCCTCCCCATTCTCCCTGTCGCCTCCCCCTTGGGCTCCTCCTTTGCTTTCCATCACCGCAGCCGCGACCTCCCTCCCCTGCATGCGACAAGTGAAGCCGCCCAGGTCATCCCTTACATGCGCCGCACGCGGCGCAGCAGATGGCGCATGTGACGCATATGGCGGAACCAAGCCTCCCAACCGGCCTCCTAGACTCCCCTCCTCCTCCTCCCCCTTCCCCCCTTCCTCCTTCGCCCCTTCTTTGTCTTCTTCGCCTCGCCCATTCCTATGACCCCAGGCAATATCCTCCTCCTCCTCCTCCCCCTCCCTCTCCCCTTCCTCGCCCCCCTCGTCTCCCTCCTCCTCTCCTTCCCTGTATCGTATCCCACCAGCAGAGGCGCCCCGCCGCCGGCTATCTTTACCACCACCCCGCCCTCCATCTCTCCCCCATTCCCCCCCATCCGGCTCCCCGTGCTGCCAACTGCCGCCAGCAACCTTCCGCCAGTTCTCCCCGCGCAATCCCCAATCTTGGTCCCAATCTTGGCCGCTGAACTTGCTCAGCGTATAGACCCCCACTCCCATCCGCCCATTCATCCCTCTCGCCGCCTCTCCTGCACGGCCCACGGGCCCCCCTGCTGCGTCCACACTCCAACTCACGTCCCCTGCTCGCCTCCCGTTTACACCGCTTCCCCCGCATCCACGCTCCGCTCCGCCTGCCCACTCACCCGCTGCTTCCCGCCGCTCCTCTCTTCTTCCGCTCGGTTGCTCCGCGCGGCTCCTAGCGGCGGCGCGCGCTCTCTTCCGCACCATAAGCGCGCGCTCCAGCTCCAGGCCTTTGGGGGTCATCTTGCGCTGGCGCTTCTGCGCCGTCCCCACGCAATCTTGCGCCGCAATCTCCGCATGAGGGGGAGTTGAAGGCTCTGGTCCTTCCACTAGCGTCGCTGCTACCCCTCTCGCCATGCTCCCGGGACATAGCGCATGTGCATCCGCGCTATATGCGCCTGAGCGGAAGCCTGGAAGAACTCCGCTTAGTACCTGCTGCCGCTGCACTACTCCCTGTTCCCCCTGCTCCTCGTCCTCCTGCTCCTGCTGCTGCTGCTGCTGCTGCTCGGGAGGCAGCTTGAGAGATTCTACATGGGATTCGAGGCCCATTCAGACGCCGTCAAACACGGAAAGCCTCTCTCGCACCAGCTGTAAAAATGAGGGTTCGAGGAGCAGGCTTGACACGAGCAACGAGGGGACTGAGGGAACTTCAACAGCCATGAAACCCTAACGAGACGAGCTCTCAAGGCTGGAGTGACAAAGCGGTGTGAAGATTTACGGCTCTTGGAACCACGCTGGCGGCTCCCCAAATCTGCTTACGTCGATTGCGAATCCGAAATTAGGGTTCGAGTAGTAAGGCGTTGCTTTGAGACGCGAGGGACAAGCGAGTAACTCGGGTGAGAACAAGAAAGCGAGAAGCGAGGGGAAGAGAGTCAGTCTGCTGGTGGACCTCTTAGAGCCAGGAGAGAATGAAATGCGAATGGAGAGGAGAGGAGACACGTTCAAAGTCAAAGGATAAGAGTCAGCGCGGTGCTGCTGCCGGGCTGCTACATTTCTTGCTGGTCAAAAGTCATGGGACCACATGACGGTAATGATTTCAAGATACTTCCTCGGAAATGCGTTGAGGAACAAGTAGCAACATCGGAGAGGTGAAGCGAATTACAAAAATGGTGGCAGTTGGGCCTCCTGCGCCTGTTTTGGTGGCTGCTCATGTGTCACGAAATGAGACCATAAGGTGGGGTTAGTTTTGGTTTGGTTAGTTAGCTGGGGGGACATCCCCTCCCTACCAAGCCTAGGAGCAAGAGAAAAGAGGAGGTTTGGTGGATTTCAAAAGTGGCAAATTCAAGTCTTCTGCTGCGGCCTGACGTAGCAGCCACCCACCACTGAAAGGGCGTCCAGCAAGGCTCGCGATTTCGGTTTGCGATGCCAGCGAGTCAAAGTCCTGCTTTCGCTTTAATTCGCGAGCCCTATCATCAGTGTCGCACAGGGTGTGGCGGAGTCAGCAGTGCATAGCAGACCACAATCCCCCCAGATCCCGCACCAATCAAAAGCCGAGCTCGAGCTTTGGCTGCGCGAGACTGGAATCTGGCACCAGGAAACTGTACAGGTGATGCCAAATTCTGGTCAGAGGAGAAAAAAAACCTCCATAAGTGGTAGATTTGCGGACGCCTATTTTCAACGCATCCTGCCCAGAACCAGAGCAACATTTGTTCATCGTTTCACCACCACGTGGTGCGTCATCACACAGACACGAAACCGTAAACAGGTGGAAAATTTGAAGGGCGCCAGCTGGTCCCCCACAGAGGCTTTCAAAACTAGTTGCTGACCTCCTTTCATCAGGCAGCGTCTCAGGTTCGCATCGCGGTAAACCTGATGGAGCCTTGATTTGATGGGATGATAAGTGGAGGAGTATGTCTGATCACGAAGGTACATCTGACATTCTGCGGATGTATATAATCTGTAAATGAATACAAAAACTCCCTTACACATTGACGCCAGGATCTTCCTTCGATTTGCAGACCCCAATGCCGCAATTACGGTAGGACTATTGGTAAAATGGCCTGACTTTGTGCAGTTTACTGTTGACAATGCAGCCTATACTCCAAGCAACCCATCCAACCCACGTAAACCTTCATACCAGCATGTGAAAAACGGTGTAGATGAAACAGTTCACTGTAGTGGTAGATTTAATCATAGCCAAGGGAATCCACCATTGTTTCTCTCATTATGTATCACCAGATGAAGCCACATGCCTAACACTTCCTTCTGAGCGCTGATTCCTCTCCCTCTCCTCCCTTTCTGCCCGGTCCCTCTCTTCCACTTCCCGTCTCAACCTCTCCAGCTGCCTTCTACTCCTCTCCTGCTCCTTCTCTGGTCGACCCCGTCGCTGCATCAATCTACGCCGAGCAACCTCTTCCGACAGCTCCTCCTCGCCCTCTCCCTGCAACCATCATACAGCAGGCATTCCAAAATGTTGTACAACTGGGTGACCTCACTGGATCACAGGAAAAACGCTGTAGAACTGCATCTGTCCAAGTAGAACCTCCACCCAGGGCATTGATACACCGTGTAGCAGGCAGGCGCCATTGAATTGAAGGACTGACGTGGCACTCCCAGTCCATTATGGTTGCAAGCAAAGGACAGGTTCTCACTCCTGCATCAATGAACCTTTCATACACTTGCCCAGGCCAGACGACCTTTGATGCTTCTCCAACATTTGCCTCTAGAAGCTGCAGCTATGTGGTTTTGCTCAAAAGCCCTACGTATCACTTACATTCTGTGCATCTCGCATGTTTTGGCGTGAAAAATGGGGCACTCACCTGATTAAGCGAGAAAGGATGTCTTCGTGGGATGAACCGCACTGTCATGGGATCCACGCCCTCCGGCACCGGGTCCCCTTCCACCAGCACTAGCTCCGGCTTCTTCCACCCGTGCTCCTTGCGACGCTGCTGCCTGTGGTACTCCATCTTCTCGTTAGTTAGAGGCGGCAATGGCTCCAGCTCAACCAGAGTCGCATTGCCTATGCGGTAATTCCGCACCGATGTCGGATCGTCGAACTCCCGAATCACGCGCAACCTGAGGGCGCATGGAGAGAAAAAAATGCAGAGCGTTGGAAAACGGGAAAAATTTCGTAATTGACCGGAACCCGTTCGTGAAGGCAAGGAAACTTTTCGACACTTACATCCGTGACATGAGAATAAGGCGTGCGAGCTGGAGCAAGGTGGGAAGTACATGCTGCGACAACGATAACGTACTTATTCCTTCTACGCACAACAAATTATGTATATCAGACACGTACGGCACAGATCTGTCGGCCGCAATGAACCCTCGGCGAGCTAGCGAATCCACAGGCCTCTCCTCCTGTCCCCTGGCTCTGCGAACGAGCAGTGCGCTGACCCCGACCACAGCAAGTACAGCTGCTGCCACTCCGCCTACCGTCCACCACTTTGCGGATCCGGTGGGTAACGGTAAGCGCTCGAGGAACGAGAACTGTCGAGTAGGAATAGTTGGGATGGGATATAATGGGGACTGAATACTTGGGCCATGGGGGTAACCTGACGCGAAAGAAACTTGATGAGATTAAGCACACCGGAAAAAATGGGGGAAGCGGGACAAGGATAACGGTTCTCACGGCAGTAGATTGCTCGCTGACGAGGTTCTTAGAATCCTGCGACCGGTGCACGACGACCTTAACCAGCTCTTGATCGCTCCCGTCCTTCCCGGTCCCTCCCTTGCTCTTCGCAACGGCTTTATCTTTAGCGGCTTGGACACGGACGACGGACCGTCTGGCCGGCTGACAGCGACGAGGCGGACAAATTCGGAGGAGAACATTCTGTCGTTCCAGTCTATGAATGTGCTTCGATTGGCTGGAAGGAGCAGAGAGAAGAGGTCTGGCGGAGCTACAACGAGGGGAAAACGGGGATCGCTGCCAGCAGGCGACGGGGTCTGAGCCACGTGTCAAGCCGCTGGAGCTACCGGGGCTGACGGTGCTGCTCGAGGTGGTGGTGGTCACGGCTACCAAGCGGGCTTGTTGGGCAACGTAAGACATCGAGGTCGCTGCCATCATGTGCAAGTGTGTACTTCAAAGACGTGTGACTTCCTCAATATTACTACAGCGAAACAGGCGATATGCTTCATAAAAGGAGAACCAACGGAAGAGGCACACCCGTGGAACGTACATCACATTTCGAATCACTTCAGGCAGCCAGATACACTTGAGTTGAGATAGCCAAGCCAAGGCACGAGACGCCGCACCAAGCAACAAGGTGACGACGCCAGACCGACGTTTTCCTCCACCACTTCCACTAGAATTTACTACTGAAATGGGCATGCCGAACTTCATCCCTATCAACCGTCGATCTAAATGCAGATCAGCTTGTAACCGCCGGATGGACCATCGCTTATGAGAAAAAACATTTTCGTTTCTTCACTTGCGGTGTTTCCGATGTGGTTGTGCACGCTTTGGTGCCAGCGTGGAGCCCGAATGGTTCGGGTCAAGTGGCCCCATCTTATCTGGCGTTGGATGCACCACAAGAACGCCGAAACCTGAGGTTCGTTTTGTGCGCGGGAAGGAAAATTATTGGTTGATCGGGATAGTTTGAACAAGTACAACGATATAGGCGTATGTGCTATGTACTGAAACATATCTAATTGCTCATTTCCTCAAAAGAGCTCTAGAGTCTCTCTACACTCAACATCCTTGCTTCTTGTTGTCAGTTCCCAAGAAATCGGATACTATGGTCCATTAGGTTCTGCTCCAATGTGAGCTGTAACTTGTACAACGTGAGTGGTTTCGGCAATGTTGTTTTGGTGGTGAGAAGAGAATCCTTTTTCCATACAGGATGGACTCTCCCTGCACGCACTTCCCCTCTTCTTAACACTCCTAAAGCTACCCTAACCTCAAGCCACTGAACTGCATTGCACTGCACTGCACTGCACACCTATGACTGCACGGACAGCCGTTGCAGATGCTCCATGAACACCTGCAGCGACACGTCGTCTGTGAGAATCACCTCCCCCCCCGGCACCGCTGATGCGCTGTTGTATGTTGCCGACGGGTTCAGCTTCGCCAATAGGAACCGAGCCTGTGCCGGGGCACACATGCAACGAAGCAGGAACGCGGGAACGCAGTTGAGAGGTCTGTATGCATCCCCAATATGCACACGGGGGGACACGAGCACAAGGTGCATACATACTCGCTAAGCTTACCTCCCCTGCGGTCTGCAGCAGCAGATCTGGACACCCCACTTGCCCAGCTCCACTCACCTTCCCCCTTCCGTTTGCCCCTCCGTTTCTCTCCTCCTTTCCTGACCCTCCCCCCTCACCCCTTCCACCCCTCCCTCTTTCCCCCCCCACGCCGTACCTGGCTGCCATTCTGATCGCAGTCCACAAGTCGCGGCACGGGAAACCGCTCTGCTATGATGGCCGCTGCATCCGCTTGAGGCGCCTGTAGCAGCTGCGCAAAGGCCTGTGGCAGGGGGGAGAAACGGGGAGGGAGCAGCAGGGGAGCAGCAGGGGAGCAGAGCAGGAGAGCAAGGAAAGTGAAGGATTGCAAGGGGATGGCGGTGACGGGCTGTGATAGCCAGGGCAGATGATGGCACTGGAAGCAGACAGGTGGAGAAAAGCGAGTGTGTGAGTGCATGTACATGTGTGGGTTGGACTATGAGGGTGATGGCAGTGAGGCGGGAGGAGAACGGATGAGCGCGGAGAGAAAGGAAGGAGGAGCTGTAGTGGGGGGGTGGGGGGGGGGTTGGAAGAAAATAAAACAAAACCAATAATGAGTCAACCCCCCCCCCCCCCAAAAAAAAAAAAAAATCCCCTTGCTCCCCCTCTCCACCCACCTGGTGCTCGGGTTGGTTGTGGTAACCAGCGTTGCGCCACTGAGCGATGGTGCTGCCGTGGAAAATGACGACAGAAAAGAAGGCATCGAGCAGAAGGATGCGGTCCACTGCGATCGCTGCCACGTCCAGCAGCGCCGGCTCTGGCGGCGAGTTGAACGAGTAGGCCGTGAGTGTGGGCTGGTAGGGAGACAAGGGACGGGGGTGGGTGGAGGCGAGGGGAGTGGTGAGGAAAGGCATTGAGTTGAACAAGTAGGCTGTCAGCGTGGGCTGCACGGGGGAAGAGTGGAGGAAGGGGAGATCGGACGGGAGTAAGGGAGGTGGATTTTTTCTCTAGAAGTCCTTGTCGTTGACATGAGTGAACGGTTTATAGTACAGGAAAGGCAGGTATGAGAGGCAAAAGCACGCATGTGAGGCAGCTGAGAAGCACAACGGAGTTGAGCACAGCACATGCATGCATGCACTTGTCAAAGGCGATTATTACCTGGATCATGACAAGGGAGTTGAGCACGCTCTCTCTGTTGAGCACCATGCGGAAATACGCCGTCTCGTCTGGACTGCTGCCAAACACCTGGTGCCGTGACATGACATGTAAGGCCATGCGACGTGACGTGATGCAGAGTGCCATGGATGGGAGAGATGGGCGCACACGGCCGGAAGGGGGTGCACGGAAGGTAGAAATTGACGAGCGATTTGGAGCGATTCGCGACCATTTGCTTCTTTATTTTCAAAGCCCACGGGCACAGTGTGCATCATGGGCCTACATAGACGGTTATGGCCCACCCACCTACACTACACCAGCACCCTTGCCCTGCACTTGCTTTTGAATCGCCTTGAAATCTGGAACCCTTGGCCATTGCACCTGCTTTTAAGGCACCTCGAGAATCAGACACACACAGCCACGCACGCACCTGCACGAACTGCGAGGGGCGCAGGTTGAAGAGAAACTGCTGGAGGCTAAAGAGGTTGATTTCCTTGACTTGAACGCACTTACCTACTGACTTGATGAATGTAAGACCTGCGCAGTCCACCTGTCCACCTTGCACAAGCAAGCCACGCACGCACAACCAGCACCGCACGCACCTGCACGAACTGCGAGCGGCGCAGGTTGAAGAGGAACTGTGGGAAGAGCGAGAGGTTGGGCGAGAGGCAGAAGGAGGCGGGGTCGTCCTTGCGGTAGTCCCCAAACTTGTTGCACACGCGGATCAGCAGCCGGTCCAGCCACCTCGTGGCGTCAAACTCCTCCTGGAGGAGAGAGAGGAGAGAGGGGGGGCGGAGGGATAGAAGGGAGGAGTGAGAGGAGACGGAGGTGGGGTTGCCCTTGCTGTAGTATCATAACTTGTTGCACACGCGGATGAGCAGCTAGTCCAGTCCAGCCACCGCGTGGCGTCAAACTCCTCCTGGGAAAGACGGGGTGAGGGAGGCAAGAGGGGGGGGGCGGGAGGGAGGAAGGGCAGCGGAGAGGAATGAGAGGGCCGTGGGGGAGAGGGACGGGCGGTCGAGCGGGAAGAGAAGAGCGAGGGGGAATAGTGGAGAGGGAGGAGAGGGAGGAGAGGGGAGAGCGGGTTAAGCGGAAGCGGAGAGTGGAGAAGGGATACGGGGGGGGGGGGGGGGGGGGGGGTGAAAGAGAGGAAAGAGAGGGTGATAAGACAGGCACGAGGCAGGTGTAAGCATCGCAACACCACAGCAGTGCCCCTCTAAACTCACCTCTCGGTCACACATGCCACGATTCCCCGTCCCCCCTCACAACTCCCCATCCACCTCTTCCCCTCCCCACCTCACTCACCTCACCCCCCCTCTCACAACAATCACCCTCCCCCAATCCCCCACCTCGGTTTCCATCTTGAAGCCGGTGATTCTGGCAACCACAGCAGCAGCAGCCTCCTGGTCAAAGCCCGCCACCAGGTGAAGACTCATGGCACCACAGCAACACGCAAAATCCCTCTCACAACTAGCCAGCACCGCACCGCACCGCACTGCCCCCCACCTCGGTTTCCATCTTGAAGCCGGTGATTCTGGCGACCACAGCAGCAGCGGCCTCCTGGTCACGGGACTGCAGCTCCAGTCCCGCCCCAGGGACTGCAGCTCCAGTCCCGCGCCGGGGACTGCAGCTCCAGTCCCGCCCCAGGGACTGCAGCTCCAGTCCCGCGCCTGGGACTGCAGCTCCAGTCCCGCGCCAGGGACTGCAGCTCCAGTCCCGCGCCTGGGACTGCAGCTCCAGTCCCGCGCCAGGGACTGCAGCTCCAGTCCCGCGCCTGGGACTGCAGCTCCAGTCCCGCGCCCGGGACTGCAGCTCCAGTCCCGCGCCCGGGACTGCAGCTCCAGTCCCGCGCCCGGGACTGCAGCTCCAGTCCCACCAGGTCGACTAAAGAATCACCTCACCCCCCATCTCACAACAAGCCACCCTTTCCCCCCCACTAGTCCCTCACCTCGGTTTCCATCTTGAATCCGGTGAGTCTAGCAACCACAGCAGCAGCAGCCTCCTGGTCGAAGCCCGCCACCAGGTCGCCTGAGCTCGCGCACTCCACCCACCGCCGCGTGATGCTCGTCACCCGAAACCGCGTCTCCCCCGACGGGTGCTGGTACCTGGCGCTCGCACGGGGGGTGGGGGTGGGGGGAGGGGTACGGGAAAGAGAAGGGGAGGGAAGGGAGAAGAGGAAAGGGAACGGGAGGGAAGGGGAGGGAAGGGGAGGGAAGGGGAGGGAAGCAGAGGGAAGTGTTGTAAGTGTGCAGTGGAACTGTGTGTTCCTTCCTTCCCTGATGGGTGCAGAGGAATAGGGAAGGGAATCAAGGAAGAAGGAGAGTTCTATATGTGACGGGCAGGTTGGGAGCTATTGCAGACGACAAGGAGGCAGGGGGGAGAAGAGGGGGAGGAAGGGAGCAAAGTCGGGGAGGGGGAGGGGGAGGGGATGGGTGAGTGGCAGAGGCAGGCAGTGTACATGACCAGTATCTCTTTTCATGACTTTTGAGGCGCCTCAAAACTGTACACGCCCAGTACCTCTTTTCATGATCTCTTTTCACCCTCCCTTACCCCTTTCCTATGCTCCTCTTACCCTGCCTATGACTTGACCCCTTTCGGTGTGCTCTCCTCTCCCCTACCCCTCTCCCCCCCTTCTCAGTGAGAAGTTCTCACTCACGAGGTGGAAAACTGCAGGTGGAACTGCCGTGCTGCAGGGTTCCGGTTATGCGAAAAATGCAGAACTTCTCACTCACAACTTTTGAGACGTCTTACGACGGCTCTCACTCACGAGGTGGAGAACTGCAGGTGGAACTGCTGTGATCCAGGGTTCTGCAAGCCCTGCGCCGCCGCCTGCTGCTGCTGCGCCTGCTGCGCCGCCGGCACAATCTCAAAGAGAACGGCGAGGGACGTGCACACGTCCAGCCCACACAGCTTCCACGCCGTCGTGTGCCCCTGCCCTATCGCCACGTCCGATGTCAACGGCCCTTTCTGCAGCCAGGACGAGGGCGGGAGTGGGGGGGTGGTGGCCAGAGGAGGGGGGGAGGGGAGGAGGGTGGGTTTAAGGTACATAAGACTCGGACAGTCTTGAGGCGTGGTGTAACAGTTTATGGCATGGGCATGGCACATGATACACATGGCATGTGGCATGTGGCATGCGGCATGCAACATGGAGTATGCGGCATCGGGCATGGGGAATGGGGCACGCAGCATGGGGCATGCAGCATGTGGCATGGGGCATGGGGCACGCACTCTGTCAAGCGAGGAGCAGGGCCCGATGGCCCCCTGCACCTTGATGTCCTTGGAGCAGTGCACCTCGAATATGCCACTGCTCTCCCACACGGACACAACAGTGGGGCCGGGCAGGGGAAGGGGAAAGGGAAAGGGGAGTGGAAGGGAAAGGAAGGGGAAAGGGGAATGAAAAGGAGAAGCGGAAGGGCAAACGAGAAGGGGAAGGGAAGAAGGTGAGGGAGGGGGAGATTTGGGGTCTGCTCGTACCATGCGTCATGAATCAAAGCCTATCAGAAAAGCGACCGAGCAACGCTTGGCACTCATATTGCAAACCGACATTACAGGCACCAACAACACCGTCTGGCCTCAGAGCGGGATCAGCCAGCAAGGTAAAAACGAATCGGCAACAGAGGTCGACTGGAGGAGGAGGAGTGGCTCACTTGAAGGAGAGGCCGAGGGAGGTATCACCGGTGTCAAAGACCCTCTTGAGCGAGTCCTTGAACACTGGATGGCCAAAGCTCTCTGAGAGCACGACGAGCCCGCCTGACTTCTCCACTGCCACCTTCATCTCCGCTATACCCACCTGGTGGGGGGAGGTCGGGGGGAGGGGAGAGGAGGGGGAGGGTGGGATGGGATGGGATTGGGGTGAAAGGGAGTGTGATCGGTTGAGGAGAGGCGGCGACGACGAGCCCGCCTGACTTCTCCACTGCCACTTTCATCTCCGCTATACCCACCTGGTGGGTGGGGTGGGGATCGGGGGGGAAAGGGAAACGAGGGGGATGAGGGAGGGAGAGGACAAGCAGGAGGGAGGATGGGGGATAAGGAGGGGAGGGGAGAGAGGTGGACAGAAAAGGGGGAGGAGGGGGAGACGAGGGGGGGAGGAAGGTGGGGCAGCGGGTGGAGGGTGGGAGTGGGGTGGAAGCGGCTGTGATAAGATGAGGGAGCGGAGGCAGAGAAGAGGCAGAGAGGAGAGCGAGCGAGCAAGGGAGTGCAGTGCGGGGCAGGGCACCTGGTCGAGGGCGGAGGAGAAGAGGTCGAGCACGTGGTGGCCCTGGGCAACGAGCTACTTGGCGTGGCGAGCCACGGCTCGAAGACGCTGAATTTTGAGAGATCTCAGCGGCGACCGTCACATCACAGCACACGCCGCCATTCGCCGCCACGCACGCACCTGGTCGAGAGCTGAGGAGAAGAGGTCGAGCACGTGGCCCTGGGCGACGAGCTGCTTGAAACGAGACGACCTTTTGAAGCGCATGAAACAGCATGCAGCATCTCACACCTCGGCAGCGCACCCACCCACCCACCTGGTCGAGAGCGGAGGAGAAGAGGTCGAGCACGTGGCCTTGGGAGACGAGCTGCTTGGCGAGCCCGTCATAGAACTTGACGGCCTTGCTGTAGTGCGGCGCTGCATCCTTGTCCAGATCCTTGTGCGACCGGATCGGCTCCGATTGGTCCCGCCCCACTATCTGCACTTAGGGTTGGGGGTGGGAGGGGGGATGGGGGATGGGGGATGGGGGATGGGGAAAGGGACGGGGGAGGGGGGGGCGAAGGGATGGGGAAGGTATTGGGAAGGCGGGGGGAAAGGGAGGGTGAAAAGTGAGGGGGAAAGGGGCGGTGGTAGAGCCTAGAGGGATGTAGAGAGAGAGGCAGAACTTGACGGCCTTGCTGTAGTGCGGCGCTGCATCCTTGTCCAGATCCTTGTGCGACCGGATCGGCTCCGATTGGTCCCGCCCCACTATCTGCACTTGGAAACAGCGGGGGGAGGGCGGGGCGAGGGAGGGGAGGGAGGGGAAGTGCGACGAGAGGGGGGAAGGGAGAGTAAGGGATGGGGGAAGGGAGGGGGGGAGGGAGGGGGTGAGGGAGGGGAAGGGAAGGGGAAGGGAGGGGGGAGGGAAGGGGTGAGGGAGGGGGGAAGGGAGGGGGAAAGGGAGGGGGAAACGGAGGGGGGAATGGAGGGTGGAAAGGTGGGGAAGACAGACAGAAAGACAGACAGACAGAGACATGTCAGCACAGCCCAGCTCCACCACCTTTCCCCTCCAAATACTCATTCCCCTCCTCTCCCCACCCCTTCTCTTCTCCCCATCGGCCTCCCTCTCCCTTCTCCCTCACCCTTCAACAACATCAATCCGCCCCGCCCCCACCCCGCACGCACCATGCCAGGCCCTTCCGTGCAGGGCCCGCCGACAAAGCTCAGTATCCGTGCGCCCGTGCCGGGAACGCACGCGCCCAGCAGTGCAGTCGCCACGCTCAGCGCCGTGCCCGTGCACCTGGCCGGCCTCTCTCCCAGCGGCACAGGGAACGCGTCCCTGCTCAACTCATCCAGCACCGTCGCCACTGTGAACTCACACTCCTGCGTCGGGAGTAAAAACCGCGCCACTCCCGCTGCCGGCACCCCGTCCCGCATCCCCCCTCCCGCGCCCGCCCCGCCAACCCCTCCCGCACCACCTCCCGCTCCCCCTGCCCCGCCCGCTCCGCTCCCGGCAGCTCCTGCTGCTCCGCCTGCTGCGCCTGGGCCGGAGAGGCCGAGGTGTTGGACGATCTGCTGGCGGGACACGTCCTTGGTGCCGCGGAAGATGAACATCTTGGGGCAGTCGGAGAAGCCCAGCTCGTGCACGTGCACCTGCGTGCCGTACGTGATTAAGCCTAGCAGGGCGTTCTCAGGGAGTAGGCCAATTGCCTGTAGGGGGCGGGGGAGCGGGGTGGGGGGTGGATGGGCGGGGTAGGTTTTTTTAGTCGACTTGATCAATGGTGCAGGGGGGAGGCGGGGGGGGTATGGTGGTGTGTGTGCGCGCGCCTGGGCCGGAGAGGCCTGAGAGGCCGAGGTGTTGGACGATCTGCTGGCGGGACACGTCCTTGGTGCCGCGGAAGATGAACATCTTGGGGCAGTCGGAGAAGCCCAGCTCGTGCACGTGCACCTGCGTGCCGTACGTGATTAAGCCTAGCAGGGCGTTCTCAGGGAGTAGGCCAATTGCCTGTAGGGGGCGGGGGAGCGGGGTGGGGGGTGGATGGGCGGGGTAGGTTTTTTTAGTCGACTTGATCAATGGTGCAGGGGGGAGGCGGGGGGGGTATGGTGGTGTGTGTGCGCGCGCCTGGGCCGGAGAGGCCTGAGAGGCCGAGGTGTTGGACGATCTGCTGGCGGGACACGTCCTTGGTGCCGCGGAAGATGAACATCTTGGGGCAGTCGGAGAAGCCCAGCTCGTGCACGTGCACCTGCGTGCCGTACGTGATTAAGCCTAGCAGGGCGTTCTCAGGGAGTAGACCGATGGCCTGTTTGGCGCAGGGGGGGGGGGGGGGGGGGGGGGGGGAGGAGGTGGTTGGGGGAGGAGGAAGGGGAAGAGCGGGGGGCGAGGGCGGACGGAACGGATTTATTTTGGATGGGCGGGAAGCGGGGGGTGGGTAGAGTAGGGTGGGTGGGCGGGTGCGGGAGCGGGGAGGACAGGTTTTAGAGGCGCGGGAGGTGCGCAAAGGCGTTCTGAGTGTGAATGCGCGCGCGCGTCGAGCAGGAAGAGGAAGACGGGGTTCTCCGGCAGGAAAAATCTGGACTGTTTGGGGGTTTCACACACACTCACACGCCAAACACGCACACGCACATGCCCACCCAAACAAAGACACGCCCACACAGCAACGCACCTGCGAGACGGCAGTCTTGAGGTAGCCCAGCTCCTCGTCTATGAGGCAGAGGTCGAGCAGGAAGAGGAAGACGGGGTTGACGGGCGGGCCCACCGTGGGCAGCGTGTACTCGATCGTCGTGTACTGCGGAAACAGCTCCGCCGGCAGGTTCGACTCCGAGATCGCCGCGTAGTGCGGCGGAAAGTGGTTGCGCTGCGGCGATTGCATGTGTCGGAGCGGAGGAGGGGGGAAGGGGGGGGCGCGGGGGAAAGGATGGAGAGGGGATAGGGAAAACGGGCAAGGGGAACAACGTTCAGCGCGTCATCCTCGGCTTCTCAAAGCGCATTGCGGTCTCAATCAAACAGAAATTTATTATCTCTGCGCCGCACAGTACCCAGCGAAAGCTTTACTAAAAAAATCAGCAAAATTTCGGCACAGCAGCACCAGCAGCAGCCGCCACCAAAATCGGAAGCATCTGGACCAGGTAGCAGCAGCAGTAGCAGCAGCAGCAGAAGCAGCAGAAGCACCTGATAGCAGAAGGGGCAGATCCACATCTTGCCGATGAAATCCACGCGCGCGAACGGGTTCAGCACGGAGCGGCACGACTTGCACCGGATGGGCTCGTACGGCAGCACGGGCATCTCGGGCAGGCGCTTCGCGGGCGTGTAGACCGCGGCGAACGGCACCACGCACTTGGTCGCCTCCACCTTGGAATTCGGCCACATGTTCCACGTCAGCCGCACCGCGTCCACCGCTTCGAGATCCGAGAAATCCGGTGTCGCCATCGGGCCGGCAGATTAGAGACTATGGGGCGAGAGGTTGACGCGGGAAAGAGGCGGGATAGGAGGAGGGTAGGTAGTGAAAAAGCCGACGATCGACGTCAACGACGGAACGGCGATGGTAATCCTGTGGATTTTCAACAATAAAATCGTTCTTTACTGGAACAGATCGTTTCAACAATCACAGGATGTGCTCCAAAAACAATATCTGAAGCCCTCGAAAAAGGATCTGCTCAAGATCAATCGAGTCGTGAAATGTTGTTCAATGCAGGATGGCGTGGTGGGAGGCACAGCTTGCTTCCTGGTCACACGGCTCTAAATTGCCTCCTAACCTAATTTAGCCCGAGCGAGACAGCACGCACAATAAATCTGCTTTGGTAAAAGTCGGTCTGAGCAAGCCTGTCAGTTCAGCCAAGTACAGTAGGATTCGCGTTCCAGCCCAGCGGGATGCTTCAGATTCCGCCGTGGTCAGGTAAGCAGGGGAACGCGATCAGCTTGGAGGAGGCGGCAGCGAAAAAGCTGGTTTGTTTTCGCGTGCGACTGGCCAACGGCTTCAACGGCTGGGCTGCGAGCTTGCGACAGCAAGCGATGTCGCAACTCGGTGGATTTGGCGTCGCTTGCGCCAGACCAGAGGCGCGTGGAGTTATCGAGGCGACACAAGCTTGACGCCCAGACTTGGGCAACCGGGGGAGTCCAAAGGGTACAGGCAAATAAAAACCCTAAACCGGGGGAATTCCTAGCAACATTTGATTCTGCTGACTACAGTGTGATCACCTTACCGTGTCAGGGTACAGGCAAATAAAAACTCCTACCTGTACTACTAGTGAGCATCTATGTCTAGATCTTTGCCACCACATTATTGAAACAAACCACTCATCCCTATCTTGGTACATCGCAACTGCCTACCCTCGACTACAGATTGCTCTACATTTGTCTCACTTATTGCAACCATTTCGAAGAGAAGAAAGAGCAGCAGTGAGGCGGGGAGATGGGTTTGCCTGAAGCCCATGCCGTGCATGTCCCACGACCACTCCACCAGATGCTATCTGCACCACTCCCTTCTTCTGCACCAAAGCTGCAGCCCCAGTTGCTGCTGCTGCTGCTGCTGCTGCTGCTTTTGTTCCCACTTTTTTACATAGCCCTTCACTCGCAGCCGCCAGTGAACCGCCCGCACCTACCTTTTGCATTGCCGGGAGACAGGGAGAAGCCTGTGCAGCCGCATGAACAGCAGCCATGGCAGCAGCAACCTTGCCACTTCTGATCCGAGCCAGCACGGCCTTTGGCCCAAGGGAAGAGGGCACAGCAGCCACAGCAGCCCGTGCAGCATCCACCGCTCCAGCACGCACAGCGGAAGGTACTTCGGTGACAGGCATAGTGTTGCTACCTGCCTTCGCCTTGGATGCAGACATGGGGTTGGATCCAGGGGCAGGTGCAGTCTCAGCAATTGCTGCCTTGTTGGCCATGGCAACAGCCCCTTGCCCACCAGGACCAGATGTCTTGATGGCTGCTGCAGCAGCACCGGTAGCAGGAGAGGGAGTTGAATTAGGGGTGGGAGCAGGAGGAGCAGTGGGAACAGCAGCCGTGGTTGCCTTCTTGGTGACTGTGGCAGGTGTGCTGGATTTTGCATTTTTTGTGGTCCTGGTTACTGGATTGCCTGCAGAAGCAGCAGCAGCAGCAGCAGGTCTGGCTGAAGGCTTTTTCTTCTTGGGAGCAGGTTTTCCAGAGACAGCTGCAGCACAAGAATCAGCAGCAGGAAGGGGTGCTGCTGGTGCTGCAGCAGCAGCACCTGCATTAGCAGCTTTAGGGGGGAGGACATGAGTAGAGGTGGGCAAAAGACCTTGAGTCGAACCACCTGCTGATGCTACTGCTGCTGATAATGCTGGAGCTGCATCTGCAGCTGCTGGTGCTGCTGCCGCCGCTGCTGCTGCTCCTGTTGCAGCCACTACTGGTACTGGCTCTGCTGCGTGGGTGGGAGCGGGGGCGGGGGCGGGGGCGGGGGCGGGGGCGGGGGTGGGGGCTTCTCTGCCCAGATCGCTGCTGCTGCTGCGTGTGTCCACGTCCATGTCCATGACCATGTGCACCACCGGCTGTGCCTGCCCCAGTAAAGAAAGAAACATTGGTGGGGTCGCCCCAAGGGAGAAGAGACATCAGCGCCAAGGGAGAAGGGAGGGACTTAAGCAACCGAAGCGAAGCATCTCGAGGATTGAGTACGGTTCGAAGTAAGGGGGTGAGGGAACGAGGGGAATGAGATGACGAAATGACGAGGAGTGAAAGCAAAAGGAAGAGGAGGAGGAAGAGGGAGGGAGAGAGGAGCGGATGGGGGAAGAGGGGGGAGGGAGGGGGAAACAAAAGGGAGGCTGGGGGGGAAGACGGGAGGAGGGAGAGGCAAGAGGGCGGCTGAAGCCACACTTACAGCAGGCACGGCCTTGACTGGTGAACCTCCGAAAGGCGAGTCCTCTGCAAGCCATCCAAACACATCCACGTCCAGGAAATTCGCCCCCCCTGCACTGCCACAACCTGCGCCCTGAATGAAGTAGCTCGTGTCCCCAGCTCCCACCTCCATTGCCTGCTGCTCCCCCCTCATAGCACCCTGCTCACCCACTCCCCCGTTTGTTCCTGCCCCTCCTCCTCCTCCTCGCCTCCCTGTGCCACTGGCGCTAGGAAGCCCACGGATAGCAGCAGGCAAGGCGGGAGTGGGAGTGCAAGGAGGGTGCGAAGGCAGGGCGAGGTTTAGGACGAAGGAGGAGAGCCCATGGTCGTCGTCTCGGAGCAAAGAGTCCGAGAACAAGGCTTCTGCTTCTGCATCCGCCACTGCCACTGCGTCCCCTTGCGCACCTGAACCCTGCTCTTCCTCCTTCGCCTGCTCCTCACCTTGCTCTTCCCCCTCCTCCGCTCCCCCCTTTCCTTCCATGGTCGCTTCATGTAATCCGGTTTCTGCTTCCTTCTGGGGAGAAGGAGCAGCAGCAGCAGTGTGAGGATCAGGCGAAGGTTCAGCAGCAGCAGCACTGAGGAGGAAAGCAGCAGCAGCGTTGGCAGCAGCCGCAGCACCGGCGGTAGGCAAGGTGGCAGACGCAGACACAGAGGCGACAGGAGTGTGGTGAACAAGAGAAACTGCCCTACCACCTCCACCGGCAATGCTGCAGTTAGTGCAGTCGATGCGGTTACTGCTCTCACCACCGTTTCTGCTGTTACCGCTGTTGCAGCTAGTGCAATTGAGACTACTGCGACAACAATCACCACCACCGATCCTGCCATCAGTAAGAGCATCGGCTCCCTTCCTGCCAGCATGCATCGCAATCGTGTGATTCCGCTGCCTCTTAACAGCAGCACGTTCTGCTGGACCTGCGGGGATGGCAGACGACGCAGCAGCAGTAGCAGCAGCAGCAGCAGCGGCGCCACCATCAGTGCCATTCCCTGCTGCAGGGGCGGTGGCCAAGGGAGCGGCAGTAGCGCATTCAGCAGCTTGGGCCAGGCTGGACTGATGGTGCTCTGTGCATGAGACAGTGTGCGAGGACCAAGGGCCAGTGCTGTTGCTGTTGCTGTTGCTGGTGGTGGTGGTCGTCGTCGTTGTGGTGGTGGGAGTGGTTGGAGCGGGGTGCAATGGTGGCAACGCGGAGAAGGAAGGACCCTTGTCGCTCTCCATCACCGATGCATCTAGCTCTTGCAGAATGCCCATGCCACCATGACCACAACTGCCATCGTCGCCACTGTCAACAGCACCAGCACCAGCACCAGCACCACCGCCAGCAGCAACAGCAAAGGAAGCATCCGCGCGGCTATCTAATAGACCAGTGCCGTCAGCGCTGCCAGACGGAAAGGAGGTGTGCGGCTGCGGAGGGGGCACCACAGCAGCAACAGCCCCAGTGGCAGCAGCAGCGGCAGCAACAGCCGTGGCAGCAGCTGGGACAGTGGCAGGAGCAGCAGCCGGCGCTGGTACGACTGTGTTGCTGCTGGCAGGAACACCCAGGAGAGGAGTTGAGTGGTGGTATGATTGTGAGGCACAGTGGAAGGATTGCGATGATGATAATGATGATGATGACGGGTATGGGAACGCGTGCTGGGGTTGAGGCGTGCCTTGGGCCGCTTGCACCCATGTTCCCTGTAGTATAGGAGAGCGGGGAGAAGAGCCAGATTTGGGGTGGAGAGGGGAGGGGAGGGGAAAGGGGGAGGGAGAGAGAAGGGAAGAGATGTAACTGAGAGAATGAGGAAGAGGTCGGAGGAATAACGGCAGGAAATACCAGATTTGTGCAAGGTGCAAGGCGCATGGTGCATGGGGCATGGGGTTGGCAAGCTGCAGGATGCAAGCTGCAGGGTGCAGGCAGTTACCTGGGGTGTTGTGCACCACATGGATGGCGAGGAGGATGCCCCATAGCCCCTTGCTGCTGCTGATCCAGCAGGAAATGCCATGCTCATGCCCATGCCCATGCCCATGCCCATATCAAAGCTCGACCGTCCATCAAACATAGCCATCTGTGGCTGCTGGTAGTGAAACGCGGGTGCCTGAGGCTGGTTCAGCGGTGCTGCTGCCGGCACCATCCCCCACCCTCCCTGCTGCTGCTGCTGCTGCTGCTGCTGCACAGGCACGCCCATGGCTGTTGCCCCAACCGCCCCTCCACCCGCAACCCCCATGCTCATATCCATACCCATTCCCATTCCTACTCCCATCCCCATACTCATCCCTACGCCCGTGCCCATTCCCATGTTCATGTTTACACCCATGCCCATACCGCCGCTGTTCATGGGAAACGCTACTCTTGCTCCAGACCAACCGGTAATCCCACCCATCCCCATTCCTCCCTGTTCGGTAATAGCCATCCCCAGGCCGTTAGCTGGCATACCGTGAGATATGCCACCGCCCATACCGCCCATGCCGCCCATGGTGCCTGCGCCCAAAGCCCCTGGCCCTGCCATGAGTGGCATTCCCACAGGCACAGGCTGACTGGCACAAAAGAAACCACCGGAAGCAGCAGCAGCAAGAGATGGCGCGAAGGGCGAGGAGTAGGAGGAATAGGAGGGGCAGGAGGGGTAGGAGGGGTAGGAGGACGGGTAGGAGGGCGGGTAGGCGGAGGGGTAGGAGGATGGGTAGGAAGGCTGGCAGGAGAAGGGAGCAGGCATGATGGTTTTGAGTCCCTTGCTGCTGCTGGCTCTGGCGGCTTGCAGCAAGCGCAAGGGCGGGTGACACGAGGCCACGGAGGGAGCAGCAGATGCTGCTGGAGCGGACGTTGCCGGCGCTGCCATTGCCGCCGCCGCCGCCGCCGCCGCTGTTGCAGCGTTTGCACGTGTTGCGTTATCAGACCTCCCTTCTGCAGATTCTGTTGCTGCGAGCGTGCACGAAGGGGAAGGCGAAGCCCTCTTGGCGAGCTTGGTGGTGGCGCCTTGGGCGACGGACGCGGAGGAGTGGGACGAACGGATGGGGGACGAAGGCGAGGAGGTGGGGAGGGAAGCGGACGAGGGGAGCACAGAGGCAGAGGCAGAGGCGGAGGCAGCTGGGACTAGGGACGGTGTGGACGAAGGGGCGGACTCGCCTCTTGAGAAATCGTCACCATCAGCAGTAGCAGCAGTAGCAGCAGCGGCAGCAGAGGCAGTGGCAGTAGAAGCCATAACGGTAGCAGCAGCAGCACCTGACGCATTAGCAGCCACTCCAGTCGCAGGAGGAACGTCAGCGCAAGCGCCTTCATTCGCCGTAGCATCCGCACGAGCAGCAGTGGTAGCAGGAGATACAATCCCATTGCCAGCAGCTGCAGCAGTGGCGCCAGAGTCAGCAGGAGCAGAAGCGGAGGGCACGGCGGAGGCAGAGGAGGAACACTGGACGAGAACGGGCAAAGCAGCAGAGGGCATAGCAGCAGCAGAGGGCGCAGCAGTGCTGTCACCTGAAGCAGTGATAATAACTCCGTCGCCCTCCTCCTCCCTGTCGCACCTGCTCCCGTCGCCACCACCGGTACGCCCACAGCTCCCGCTGCTGCCACTGCCCCCACTGCCTCTCGCATGTCCCGCCTCGCCATCTCGCCGATGTGGCCCAGCGCTGCGACATTCGTCTTCACCTCCCGTTTCGCCTCCTTGTTCGCTTCCTCCTTCGCCCCCTACCACGCATCCTGTTTCGCCTCCTTGTTCACCTCCTGATTCGTCTCCCTTTCCGCCTGCTGGCACAGCCTCGTGAAAGTTCGCCTCGCGTCCGTTCGCCTTAGAGTCTCCACTCTCCTCCCTGTTGATCTCGCCACATTCCGTCGCTTCCCGCGCGGCGGTGTCAGCGCCGGCGCTGGCGTCCCCGTGGGCGTCATCGCTAGCGACAGTGTCCGCGTCCGCATCAGCGTCCGCATGGGCGTGGGCGTGGGCGTGGGCGTGAACGTGGGGAGTATCAGTCGTACCCATGGAGCCGTGCGTCGCTGCGGCGTCGGACCAGTCGGGAATGCCGCGAGAGCTCTCCTCCCAGTTTTCGCTGGGGTCTGCCGCGCCAGTGCCAACATCGCAATGATGACTTTCGCGATACCGTATCGCTGAACCGCGGTAATCAGCCAGCTCTGGACCTCTTGCATCGCCGCCCAATCTTCCCTCTCGTCCTTCTCTTCCTTCTCCGCCCTCTCTTCCCTCTCTTCCAGTCGCTATGCCACCAGCGGTCACCGCAGTTTCACCATCCACGCCAACGTTCCGAGCATCGTCAACGGTACACGCCGCCGCTTCCGTCGCTGGCGAACCCTCCTGCTCCGAACGCCCTTCTCCATCAGCCATGGCGGCGACGGCGCCGGCAGCGGCGGCGGCGGCAGCGTCAAGAGGCAGACCGTCCAGATCGCCTTGAAATAGAATCAACTCGTCAAGCGTCATTCCCGTGCCGTCGCCCTCCCAATCCATCTCACCGTCCTCTCTCCCCGTCTCCTCCCCCGTCTCCGCGCCTGTCTCGCATCCCGCAGCAAGGGCCTCGAACGGTGTCTCCCTCACGCTGCCTCCGCGCGCATCGCCCTTCTCCTCAAAAGGCTCGGCCACGGCGGAAGCACCCGCAAGTTCAGGAAAGTCCTGATCTCCGCTCTCCGTCTGGCGCGCTCTGGCAATCCCAGTGCTCGACCCTACTCCGTCCCCTGCACCCGGCGGCAGCACCGGGTCTCGCTCCCTCTCGTTCGCTGCCGCGATTCCCCCGGCGATCGTCGCCCGCCCACGCGTCTCGCGTTCGCCGACGCCGTCGTCGGAAGGTGAGGTCGGGGTGGACAACCGTGGACGCTTCTGCGGCCTCGGGGAAGCTCCCACACACCGATGATCGTGCTCCGGAGTGGAACGATTGGAGCGATCCGACTCGGTTTGGCGGCTCTTTTCTGGGGTCGATGGCTCAGGGGATTCGACCAGGGTAGTGGAGGCCTGGGCATGAGAGAGTTTAGTAGAGGCCAGCGTAGGAGGCGGAGAGGAGGACGAGGTAGCAGAGGACGGGGTGGGAGAAAAAGCCGCAGCGCGTACTACCGTCGCATTTTCCGTACCAATAGCACCATTGTCGACCACGAGCTCAATACTCGTCCCAACTTTCCCATGTCTACCCAATCCGCTCTCATCCGTCCCCACTTCGCCGTCCGTGACCGCTCTCGTATGCTGCTGATCAGCTGCTGTGGGAGAGCTGTGCTCCAGCGACTCGGAGGCTACGACATTCACTGTGGCCAGCATCCCGTTTCCTAGCATTACTATGCAAGGCAATAGTCGCGACGCGTTGTAACCCTCTCACTCTATCTCTCTGTCTCTCGCTCCGCCTCCTTCGCTTCGACTTTCTCTCCCTGACTGTCCCTCTTGCTTCCGCTCTTGCTCTTGCCCTCACACTTGCTCTAGTTCCCGCACTTGCTCACGACTTTTAGATTGCTGGCATTGCGGAGGACTTCCAGCTTGAGCTACGAAGTCTACGAGCAAAAACTGCGGACCAAGAAAGACCTGAGCATGTAGACACGTCCATACAAAGTACGAAAACCGTGGCGCGGATCACCGGGGAAATAGAACGGAGAGCGTCTGGGATGACCAGGAAGTCCATGCGAGACACAGTAGAGAGCCTGGAGATGTGTGTACAGCACACAAGCCAGGCATGGCAGCATGGTAGCAGGCAGGAGTCTAAAATCGAGGCCAACTCGTACACGATTCCTGGTCAGGTCACAGACGAGGGAAAAGTGAGGGGCATGATTCAGGGAATTGCGAAGGAGGAATGGATGAAGTGACGTGGCGTGATGGGGATGCTCGTAAGATTCGCGACGCTGGGCTTGCCGGGGCGCGCGAATTTGCGAAGTCGGTGGGCGGTGTCAGATTTTCCCCTGGCGAAGACGGACTCCTTCAACGAAGATATCTATTAGAAGATAGAGGGTGATGGTAACATGAGTGTGTTCTCTTGGTGCAGTTGAAAGAATATCTATGAAGGCTGAGCTAGGATGGTGTTGGGCATGATTTACTGGCAAGGGGGGGACCACACCACACTCTTTACTCTGCGATGCGCAATTTGCGCGGGTTATCAACACCACCCTTGATGAGTGTGGCGGAATGTCAGGGAGGGAAAATGACGAGTCTGCTCCCCAAACACATTAAAAATCACGGCTAATACCTTCACAACCTGTGTTACGACGGCGTGTTCGAAGCTCGCGTCCTAAGGTCGCGCTGCCGAAACGAATTTGGACACTCGAAGAAGCAGAAGTTGGGCTTCCTACGGGGAAAAGAGGTGAAGAAGAACCGAATGTGATATCGGAAGATACTGAAAGAATGTTTAGGGGGTCCATCTACTGAAAAATATTATGTAGTGCGTGCATTGGACGACCACTGTTTCGGATTGCAACTGGCATGTGCATTGTGCATCCTGCCTGGGCATTCTATCTTCACCAGGAATCCAAAGGCAGCATTTTGACTGGTCGAATTTGTGCCACGAACGTCAGCAACGTATCCCTCGCTGAGAGTGATGAAACCAGTTTGTGGGTCGTTCCAGATTGTTCACCAAGCAAAACCAGTGTTGGGGCATGTGAGAAATCTGAGGTTCAACCAGGACAGGGCAGCCAGATTTCTGTGTGTACGTCAGATCCAACACAGGCGTTCGATATGGGTAGTTACCTGCTTCATAGGAGGTGCAATGTTCCTAGATCGCAGGTAGCCCCATCCCAAACTAAGCTCTGAAACTAATTAAATGAACCTTATGCTCGGATTTAGCAAAGAAAGCCCCTATATATTCTTATATTGCTTATGATACGAGATTGGTATGTTTAAAAGTATTAATTTATTTACACATAATTAACCAACAACTTATACGTACTTTTGTAACACGCCAATTATATATTTGAAATGTGAAAATGCACAAATTTACCATTAAAAACTTAGTTTACAATATGGTGATTTGTCCAAATAACGATTTGTTACTGTGGCTTCTTGCGTCATTCGTGCGGCTTATATTTATTTGATATGCGGTGCATCGCAGCCATACAGTGTCATCGCTAGCGTCCTCGTATTGAACAATAAATTGTGGTCACACTTCATCCGTAACATTCGCACTCGTTCGTGAATTCTCAGTTGTTTTCCATCCACCAATCGTGCATCGACGTAAACATCTACATTACCGTTTGATCAACATGCTTGTTACAATTATTAAGTTGAATGCGATCAATGTGCGGCTAGAAACTACGACTCATTGATGGTGGTGATTGTTGGGTGACGGAGCCAAGTCTATAGTGAGCCCCTATACTACTAGCTGCTTTGGTTTCGCTACCACTTTCCCTCTTCAATCTTACCCTGTTTCAGCTCCAGATATGTTCTCTTCTCGGCTGTTTGCAGTAATAGCACATAATATTAACGGGCAGTTCAATAGATTTCATAGCGTTGATTATGGAATGTTGGGTTCGCTATAGTGCCCCCCCCCCCCCCCCCCCCCCCCCCTCCCCTGGTAGCTCTCTCTCCCCCATTGTTGCAACGCATCAACATATTCAACCGACCGCATCTCATTCGTACTGCATTTCGTATTCGAGGTCGCTAACGTATTTTTCCAACGTCTCTGTTTGGCTTGTATTATCCAGCTGGTCAGCTAACGCATAAAACGACACTATATGTTATTTGACAGAATACAATTGCCTACAGTTACACATTTTTTCTTGTGAAAAAAAATCAATGCATATATGCTCAAATCGTGTTCGTTGTCCTCATTGTTGTCGGTGCGAGTCGTGGCCGTCCCGAAGATTGATGCTGGCCATTTCATGACACGTGTCGAAGCCGCGCCACTCACATGTGTCATTTCTGCCCACGTCCCCTCTGATGGGAATGTCCGACACCACCATTCTAACGCACGACCTCGCAATAATGATATTGCAAACATAATGCAGACGACCTCACTACTTAAGTTAGCAGCATTAAAGAATACGTTTACGTCGAACGACCGTCCCTTGTCAGAAAGTAGAGTAGAAGGTTTAGAACAAGAAAGAGGGATTGGACTAGCAAGCAGTTGAGTACATATAGGAAACCCTAGATTGGGCTGTACTCGCTATAGAGTACCCCACTGCAGGCTAGACAAATACAACATTCTGACACACCCCCATAGCCAAAGTGGGGTGTAATCAGCGCAATGAGCAGGTATAGCAGGAGTTCACAATAATAAGCAAAGCTAGAGGTAATCACAGCGGGCAAGTGAGGAGGAGGAGGGACTGTGAGAGGAGAGAAGATGAGAGACGGCGGCTGAAGCTGCAGACACACGGGCAACAGGAGCTGCTGGCACAGTGGCTACCGAGACAGTGCGCCCCGGACTACTGGAGTAACTGGCTCACGGGCTACGAGGAGCTACAGGAGCAACGGACCCACGGGCGACAGGCGCAGCAGACTCTCTGGGCTACCAGGACAGTGCGCCCCGGACTACAGGTGCTGCGGACGACAAGACAGCAGCCTCCGCTCAACCTCCCCCGACCGTCCCACACCCCCTGCTGAAACCCTAGCTCCACTCCCACTGCACCCCCCTTAAACCCTAAACCCTCGGCTCCCACACACCCACCCCCCTCAGCGGCAGCTGCAGCAGTGGGAGACGGAGGAGGAGGAGGAGTAGAGGACGGTGCACACACCCGTCACCCCCAGAACCGTCACCCCCACACTCGCCACCCCCAAACCCTAAAACGGGCGGCACGGGGCACGAGCGCGGGTGACGGCTCTGGGGACGGCGCGCGGCCCCCAGGGCGCCACCATGGGGCAGCGGGGGGCCGCGCGCGGCTCCCCAGGGCGCCGCGACGGGGCAGCGGGGGGGTCGCGCGCGGTTCCAGGGGCGGCGCGCGGGTCCAGCGGGGCAGCGCGCGGGTCCCCGGGGGCGACGCGAGGGTCGACGGGGGGCAGCGCGCGGATCCCGCAGGGCGTCGCGCGGGGTAAGCGGGGCAGCGCGCGGGTCCCCAAGTGGCGACGCGAGGGTCGACGGGGGGCGCGCGCTGGTCCTCGGGGGCGACGCGACCGTCGACGGGGGGGGCGCGCCATGCAGAGAACCGCCGCGCGCCCCGGGGCCCACGGCGGGCAGAAAACCGCCGCGCGCCCCGAGCGCACGGGCGGGATGAAAAACGCCAGAAAAAAATGCGCACGGCAGGAAGAAGTCGTCGCACGCCCGAGGCGCACGACAGGAAGTAGAGCAGCGGAAGCTTTAGGTGGTGGGCCCACCCACAGGATCGACCCAAGGGGGTCGACCTGCTCTGATAGCATATCAGAAAGTAGAGTAGAAAGTTTAGAACAAGAAAGAGGGATTGGACTAGCAAGCAGTTGAGTACATATAGGAAACCCTAGATTGGGCTGTACTCGCTATAGAGTACCCCACTGCAGGCTAGACAAATACAACATTCTGACATCCCTATACTGATATTATTATGGTATATCATTCAGATTGGAAGCCGGCAGGTTCATTTGTTTGATTTTAACAATGGTCATCGCCATTGCTGCTGTCGTCGCCTCTTCATGTTCCGCGTCCCTTGCGCCAATGTTGGGATGCTGCTTACAGAACATTGTTTCATCAGGATTGTTGGCTTTCTCTGTTGACGAGAAAATGCCCCACACTCGCTTGGGCGAAGCCGACCTCGTTATTCGGCGTGCAAGGTGTGCAGCCGGCTAGGCTTTGTGGTCGGCGCCGACTTGGAGGAGCAAGTCGGCTGGCTTGGTTATCCGACTTCGGCGGAGCCAACTTGGGCGGAGCCGACTTGGGCAAAACCAACGACGGCGACGCCTGTCACAGCGATGCAAACAAAGTGAAGTCGGTGGATGGCGCCGAGTCTCGGCGATCGACAAAGGTGGTCGTGGACATGGCGCCGACCTACGGACATCGGCGCCGACTTAGCGGCCCCTTCTGGTCGACGAAGTTTTGCGGGGGTGCGCGAACTTCGCCCGAATAGGTTTTGGCGACGTTGACCTGCGGGTCAAGCACGTGCTTGACGACTTGACACCTGCGTAGTGTGCGTAACGGTGCACGACGTGCGAAACGATCTGTTGAGCCGACCTGCACATACTTTGGTAGGTGCGCACATGCAAGCACATGTTCACATGCGGTTGCAACGCTGGTAAGCCCCCTTGCTGCAATTTTGGCAAGCCGCCACGGTGCAACACTGACAGTCCGCCTTCCTGCAGTGTTGGCAAGCCGCCTTCCAGCTGCGTTGGCACTCCGTCATCTTGCGGCGTTGGCAAGCCACCTTTGTGTTGTGCTGGAGGCCGACTTGTTA